CACACACACACACACACACACACACACACACACACACACACACACACCAGTTTTATAATTTTGTATGGCCTTTAAGAGGCTTTCAGAAAAATCGATCTAATCTTAGATCCAAGAATAATCATACTGTGCTGAGAGCTGCTCACTCCTTTATGACTCTTTTATGTGCATCTGTCTCTGACATAATTTACCCTCTTTTTTTCTTGACGGTTTGCAACCAAAAAAACTTGCAAAATAAAAATTTGACACTTCTAACAAGTCAGCATTTTTGCTTGGCTTTGTTTTGTTCGTTTTGTATGGGACAGGGTCTCACTGCATGTCATTGGCTGTCCTGGAACTCATTATGCACAGCAGACTGGCCTCAGACTCACAGCAATCCACCTGCCTCTTCCAAGTGCTGGGATTAAAGGCATGCACTGACATGCCTGGCCAAGCTAATGCCTCTTTAGTCTTGTGAGTTTTTGTTTTGTTTTGTTTTGTTTTTAGCTCAATAGCGTCTCATCCCTTGCTTTTCTTTCCTCTGTTTGCTAGATCATTGTTCAAGTATAGTTGCTGAGTACAACTAGGTCATGTATAATCTAAATATCGGGTTAAAATGAAATAAACATTTAAAAATGGCACGAACAACTGAAAGAAAGGTCGAAGCAACGATAAATGTTTTTGCTGTGGATGTTGATTAGATTGTGCAAGTGGTTTTGTCTTCTTGGGGAGAATGCAGCGTTGATCCCTGTAGAAAGAAATGCAAAATGTAGAGGGTTCCAGAAGGATGACAGGCAGGCACTGTGCATTGGGAGGTGGGCTTGCCTGATGCCTTAATGGTGAATCCACTGGTTCTTCCTCTCCTGCTGCTGGGGCATAAAGAAAGTGCTAAAAATACTTAGCTCTCTGGAATCCGGGTCTGAGTGTAAACTCACTGAGAGGAATGAGGTCACTGTGGTCTTCCTGAAAATGTCAGTGCAATGAAATTCTTAGAAGAAAAACCCCAAAATGTGATGATTTTGAAACATTTTATAAAAACTTGATGTCAAAAATTGAGCATTCAGTTCAAGTCTTAAAATATTTCCTTCTTCTGTGGCTGGTGGAGGAGGGAGGGGTGGCTGGCTTCCTTCTTGTGTGCTGTGAGGGCTGGCTCCATTAGCAATCTGAGAGGTGGAGACTTTGCTGACCTCCTGTTTTGGAGATGAGGTTTTTGATGTAGTGTTTGTGTGGCTCCTTTTAAAAGAATTTTGGTTTTCGTGTAGTTTATATACTCAGCCATTCAATTTCAATTTTAATGTGCCCTGATTCTACTTTCCCTATTATTTTTATGGATCTGTGTGTGTGAGTGTGTTTGTGAGCTTGTACATGAACATACGTGAGTATCTGTGTGTGTGTGTGTGTGAGTGTGTGCATCGTCTGTAGTCTATCTGTACATATGTGTGAGGGCACACTTATCTCTGTGTGCTTGTGTGGAGGCCAGGTCTCAGCTTTCTCTATTGCTTTCTATCTTATTTTTTCAGACAGTGTCCCTCACTGAACCTGGAGCTTGCCATTTCATCCAGAGTGGCTGGCCCTGGAGCCCATGGGTTTGCCTATGTCCATAGCCCAGGAATTAAGTTTCCATGTGCACGCTGCCGGCTTTCATGTGCTTCCCCCAGCTCACACAGCAGGCTGCCTACCCACTGAGCCACCTTCTCAGCCATAATTTGCCCAAGTCCCTACCATACTTCTTGTCGTTTTTTTTTCTTCTGTTGGGTAGAGAGACCCAGAGATGCTGTGTGCCCCCATGTCTCATTACTCCAGTTATTTATTTCCATCTTAACTCATTGTTAACAGAACAGCTAGCTGTATGTTGGCTTTCGTGTATTAATGAAAGTGTTACATGTTTGAATGTTTTTCTTTTAAATGACAAAGGAAAATTCACCCAACCATGACTCCCATAGTACCTTTGTAACTGCAACTGCTGCCTGTCTATCCTTCCATCATCCATCCGTCCACCATCCATCCGTCTGTATATACATACATACATCTTCAGTCATTATAAAACATCAATACGTACCTTATTCATCTATTGTCCATTATCTCGTTCATCCACCCATACACCACCCATCCATCTGTATGTACCTACATACGTATATACATACATACATTATCCGTCCATCATCCAACCATCGGTACCCATCCATCAACTCAGCATCCACCTACACATCCATCTATCCATCAATCATTCACCTATCACCTGTACATCATCTAACTGACCTATGAGTTGTGGTGCATATTAAGAATTTTAAAAACAGTTACGACTGTGACGCAATTGCATAGAGATGGGACTTAAACAGCTGTCTTACAGAGCAGAGTACAAAAACTGCAGGATGGTAGTTTTAAGAGCTGCATGTCTGGAGACTTTATTGATTGCACACAACAGACCTCCAGATCAAGCTCAGTAATATCTAACTTCAGAGAGGGCTATGTCCAGACATCCAAGTTGTATTTTCAGGATGCTGTCCCTTTTTATGTCTCCTTAGCTTTCTTCTTCATGTTATCTTCATTCTTGGATGCCCTCTTTCTTGTGGCGGGGAATTCACCTGTTGGAAGCTCGAGGCTTGTTTTATTCTTCAGCTGTGAGTCCAGAGAATGAGCAAGACCTGACTTCTCCCTCCCAGGAGTCATAGCCTTAAGTCTTGTTTCACTGGTCTTGCTGAGGTCACATGCACCTCTCTCAGCCAATCATAATGGCCAAGGAAATATGCTCTGTGTAGCTAGAGTTAACGCCTACACTTGGAAGCACTGGGGGCAGGGCAGGAGAGTTTGGGCTTCACTAAGGCCACCTGGGGCTTGTGGAATGTGGTTCTTCAAAGGAAATCCTGGAACTGTTGCTGACAAAGGCAGAAGGGGAGGATGCTGGCCAAGAAAAGAAGAGAGAGGAAGATGGGAGAAAAAAGGAGGAAGTGAGTAGGTCTCCTGGAGTGTGCAGAGCACGTGGCTTTTCTCACAGTTCCCCAGGCTGTCATCACAGGCATGCCACACATTTGAGTGGTAGTGGGTGTACTTTCAGGACGTTTTCGTCTTTACAAAGTGGTGGCACCTTTAAAAGGGGAAGAAAATGGAAGATTTGAGGCAGGGAAGCGAGGAAAGATGAGGTACCTGGTGAGCTGGCCATCGATGGTGAATTCTAGAGAGTTTAACCCTGTTACCTTCACTGGGGATAGGGATAGCTGAGGAAGTGGTCAACACATTCAAACCAACTTTATGAAATGCCCAGAGAACCAGTGATAACAGAAGAATTATATAGCTGGTGTGCGCAGAAGGGGCTCCTTACACAGCTTGGTAAGGCTGTAAGGCTGTGTGGAAGGCTCCCATCACTCACTCCTGTTCCCCACTGCCTTCTGAGTCACCCATATTCCCTTTCTGCTCTGTTACAGTTTCATTGCAAATCAGAAAAGGTTAGAAATCATCAATGAAGATGACGTTGAAGCTTACGTGGGGCTGAAAAACCTGTGAGTACTGAGCACTTACACACATTAGCTGAGAGACTTTGTGTACTGAGGTGGCCAGGTAGGCGATCTGCTAGTTTGTTTTAATGTGAATGCCGCTGTGTGTTTCTTTGTAGGACAATTGTGGATTCCGGATTAAAATTTGTGGCTTACAAGGCGTTTCTGAAGAATGGCAACCTGCGGCACGTGTGAGTAGACCCTGGCCTGTCTGCTTCCCAGGACCCAGATTACCCAGCGTTTTCTCACTCTTGTTTATTTTCCTTTCCTGCCAACTCTAAGCCTCCTTCTTAAAAGCTAGCATGGCTGTGATAACAGCTTAGGAACATTAGCTTTGATTCTGTTTGATTTCTGAATGGCTTCGAAGGGGACTTAGAACAGCCTGTTTATTCCCTTTCATGAATTTCTGGGCCATTTCCATCTTGGACAGAGCGCTGGGCCAACGGCAAGGACTCTGATGTGAAAACGATGTCCTTGTACCGAGTTCTGGATTCTTTTCTTTGGAATGGAGACACACTCCTTGGAAGACATCAAGCTAACTAATCAAGACGCTGACTTGGCCTTGGACGGTTTAAGGAAATAAAAATTACTATTGCTTTTCCCTTTATAATAGGACTATTTGAACCTTCATTTTCTCAACAGCATGTGCTGTGAATTGACAAAAATAGGGGAAAAAATCAATCACTGTATATGCTAAAGGGTCAGATGGCTCTTATTGTAAGGACTGCTTCTCTTCCAAGTCATGCTACCAACTTCAACTGGAAATGCAGCAGATACATGGTTTTCTGCTGAGTCCCCTCAGTGGTACCATCAAGTCAATAAATTATGGCTTTCCTGAGATATTCTATTAAGCGGATAACCCAAAAGACAGAAATGTCCGTGGCCCTGCCCCCAAACTCAGACTCCCTCACACCGTGAGTTTCTGATGGGAATCTTCTACTGTTCCCTGGTTCTTGTTGACCAAATTCTCTTCACAATGGTCTCTTCAGCATTTCATAGTTTGCTGTTTACTTGCAGGGTCTCACTTGCATAGATACTTCACTTGAGTAGAATGATGCGTATGCTTTCAGTACATAGGCAAAATTCTGGTTTAAGGGAGCTCTGACACTTAATCAGCCAGCTAACTCCTCACCACGTTCTTAAGACAGGAGTAAAGAAGACAAAATTTCTGCCACCACCATCATCTTGAAACATCTGTCCCCTTTCCCTCCCTGGGGAAAACAGTTCCCCGGCTGATTTCCATGCCGGTTATTAAAGAATTTATTGTCTTGAAGCAGCCGGCCTGGATGCTCTGTGGAGATGTGTTGATATTACTGAAGACCTTAATTTCATAAAGTCATTATCAGGAGTTCATATTTTATATGTGACAGGAATAATGAAGCCACTTTCTAAGATATAAAACATTCTGCAAACCCGGGATAAAACTCTGGGCACATTTTAAAACACATTTTCTTGAAACACTTCTTGACAGCCTGTCTGGGTCGGTTTGCTGGGTCACTCTTGATGTGTGTGTAGCTCTTAGTGGCACAACCATGACAGGAGAAGAATGGGAAAACGTCCCACAGCAACCTCTTAGCAGTAATTAATGACCTCCACAGATAAGTTTTTGAATTTTCATTACAGATAACCCTAGAACCAAATTGCTCAGCCGTTGCATTATGTGCATTCTGTTTCCATGGGGGGCTGATGTTCCAATAAGAACAGTGGGCCGTGGCTAACTGTAGTTTTATTGATATACTTTGTGTGTGTATGTTGCTGTATAATAGAACAATTTTAATGGTTTTCTAGCTTCATGTATCTGTCTCACTCCAGAGGGATAGATTATTCTGTATAGTTTCTTCACCAGGCTACAATCAGGAGCCAATAATTGATCACACTTCAGAAACTCTATTGATGTGTGTAGCTATTGTCAAGTAACATGACACAATGAAATTAGGCAAGCATTCAGACCATCAGGAAGAGTGGCGAGATGCCAGTGAGCGTCACACATCCACATCCAGGTAAAGAAGGAGGCTCTTCCTAGCCACAGCACGAGAGGGAATCCAGTAGCCTTGGAGGATGGTAGGGATGTGGAGAAGGAGTCAGTCTTCTGTCCCAGCCTCTGCTTGGGATGAGGACCCCAGGGACCAGCTCGTTTTGCCTGGATATCCTGAAAGCAAACTGCACTGACTTCAGTTATCAACACAGTGAGGTGCATGTGGCAATTGAAGAAACCTGCGCTTAAAGCTGTCTCTCTGCAGCCCTGAGATGGCCTGAAGGTCACTCTGAGCTCCCTTAACTATACAGAAATGTGGGAAAGATGGGTCTGTTTAACCGCGTCTGTTTAACCCTGGCTCCCCTCTGCCTCAGTTTGCCTGGTCCGCGTTATCCTCACACAGTGACCATCAGGAACTGGTCTCCGAATGTATGCCTTTAATTGCTGCCCAGCCCCTAAAGCCCCAGGGACTGTGAGAAAAGCCAGCATTTGTGTTTTCCAGGGGCTTTGCCGAGGTGCTAATTAGGCTCTTAGCAAAGTTTTACAATCAAACAGTAAGAGGATTGTTGATTTTTTTTCTTCCTTCTTCCTCCTTTTTGGCTTTTGGCCCCATTCCTAAGTATGCTTCATAAAACTCATCTTGTTCTTTGGCCCGTAACCCCACGCTGCACTATGCCGCTGGCAGCCCAACAGAGCAGCTGCTTCCAGGGAGGGTAGCACAGAGCTGACAGGAGCGCTGCTCCAAAGGGCAGCAAGGAACTGATGGGGAAAGCGTCTCCTTCCCTGCCTTTGCTTTCTCTCTCTCCTGCTCTCTACCTTTTTCTCTCTTCCTCTCCTCTCATCCCCCCCACTCTCTCCACTCTCTTCCTCTGTTCTCATCCCTCTACTTTTATTTATGGGGGGGGCAGATCTTTTTCTTTTTTAGAAAGATTGGGGTTTGTGGTGAGTAGGAACATGTCTGAGCCTTAAAGACAGGCAGAGGCTTCTGCTGTGGTGTCCACGGAAACCATTCTTAATTCCCGTTCCAAAAGAAAAGACCCACATAGGCATGCCTTACAACTTCCCTGTGGATTATATTTTCATGTGGGATACCATTTCCTGTGGGCGAGCACAAAGTGCTAGCGTGAAGGGAAATGATACAAGCTTACAAGGCACGAGGACATCCTCCTGTCAGTGGTGCAGGTGGGTGGAAATCTCCCTGGGGGCTTTCCACTGGGTGGACACACCCATTCTTGAGTTCCAAGCCATTCACCAGCTTACACTGTTAGGTCATGCTTCAGCTCCTGGGCCCCGGGCCCTCTCTGAAGAGGTCTGAGAAGTCACTGAGCTGACATAGCATGCTGGTCTCAGGTTCAGGGCAGGGCCAGGATTGCCATTCTTCTAGGCCTGTCTCATCCACCTTAGGTACCTGCTTTCCTGGATGAGAGCAAGACACAAAGATCCTTGCAGGCGGGGTCTTGGCTCTTTTTGTGGAAGTAGCTGTTCATTCTCCACTTTTGTTACTTGTCAAAAATAAAATGTTCAGAGGCTCAGGAACTTTCAGTTTAAGTGGTAAACAAATTCAGCTGCCAGGATCAATGATGGCTGGGAGTTTCCCATCCCAGTGATCATGCTCAAATCAAATGCCCATCCATCTGACGGAAAAAAAAAGCCTATTTGGAACACACCAGGAAATTCATAAGGTTGCCCTCCCCTGACCCCTCCTGTCATGGGTAGAGCATCTTTCCATTGGTTTGTTTAAATATAAAGTAGCTGTGTTTCTGGAGAGCTCAAGGTAAAGCCTGGCACACACTCTGTTCCCCAGTTTTTACCCTTTTCTCTTCAAGGGGTTACTTGCTCATAAAGTCACATGTCAATCGTCCCACCAAGTGCTTTCAGTCAGCAGGTGTGTTCTTTCCCGGAAAGACAGTTTAAATTCTGTCTATTCCAAATTTTGTTTGTCATGTACCTCAAAATGTTCAAGATGCTTTTCAGTTTTAGAGCCTCTCCCCCCCTCACATGAGGTTATAAAGGGATACTTTGTTATATGTTCCCCACTTAAATGTTCAAAGCGTCAGGATCTCCACTAGGCCGAGGAGTGGACTTTCGATTAGCATGTGAAACATAAGCTTTTCGGTGAAACAAAGATAGTGAAAATAGACTCTGATAAGTGTACACTCTTTCATAGTCTACATGAACCATAAGAGAGGCAGGGACCTCAGAAAGTTATCTTTCCAGGTAAGAGACACAATTGGGCCCAAGGAACCTGTGAACCCCAATCCAAGAAAATTAGACTTTGAAAATGAAATCTCTATTTGAGCACACAATTCTGAAATCATAACCTTTAAATTCACACCTAATGTATCTGATTTCTTTCAGTAATTTCACACGAAACAAGCTGACGAGTTTGTCTAGGAAGCATTTCCGCCACCTTGACTTGTCTGAGCTGTAAGTAATGATTTTGTCTGGCATTTGGGAGGAAATTTTCAAAAGAAAGGATAATTAAGTATTTTTTTTAAATGAGTATCATTGCAAGTTTATGTTGCATCAAAATTCTTGAAAATGAGTTCTCCAGTTCTGCCCCAGTTGGGTGATTAAAATCTCAGTCTCAATTATATGTCATTATGATCAGTTGAATGTTGTTTTTACATAAATAATTTATTTTCTAATAGAGGGAAAAGAGAAAAAAAAAGCAGCAGGGAGTTTTGTGTTAAAGTAGTCTTATATTTCATCTCGTCTGGCTCTTATTTTACCCAAGCCCTAAAATAAAGCCTGTTCATCAAAGAGGAACTTATAGTGGGTAACACCTTCAGCTTTGTCGTCAGCCCTTAGGTAGAGTCAGCCCAGGCAGAGAGGTCATTTCCTTACACACCATCTCCCTCACCTGTTCTTTAAGGCCTACCACTATGTTAGATATTTATACTTATGTCCCAATCTCCTCTGCTGTAAAGTGATAGAAAGAACATCGAGACATTTTATGGCTGATAGTCAACATCTCTGTGTCCTCACTCCTTGGGGTAGTCACCACAAGGGCGACATGAAAGGCTGCTATTGATGAGGTGGGGTGCTTGAAGGGACCCCAAGGCTTGTGGGCCTGGAAGGACAGGGCTCAGGGGATTGGGAAGAAGCATTGACTTAAACAAGTCACTTTAAAGAAGTCTATTCTCAGTGTTTATTTTCTTCTCTGGGAAAGTCAGGGGAATGGGGGGAGGTTGTCATATTCCACATCATCACACATCAAAAGCCAGAGGGGGGACTGAAGTTTCCTAATGAAGCTTTACAGCTCAGGGTAAAGGAAGAGGGTTCCAGGGCCGCTGCCCTGCTCCCAGAGGCCAGAGAAGTGGAACTGGGCCGTGATTCTGCCTCCCATCTGGGACAGTTCCTGTCCCCACCTTGCTGTTGTTCCAGACAGTGATGGGGCTAAGAGGTGGCTTGAGCTCTGAGTACCAGGACCAAGTCCCCTAGACAAGTTGCCACAGTGGGACCCGAGCCTCCAAGGCTGACGTGTGAGCACATGCGGCAGCTCCATCTGAGTGCTGGCTGCACTGAGTGGGAACTCCTTGCCACATCCACAGAGATGGCTGGGGAGCAACTCAGCCAGGGCTTGGAGAAAGATGAGGACATTTTGCTTCAACCAATAGGGAGCCATCTTGCCAGAAATAGCCACACCCAGCAGAGCCTGACTGCAGGTCTGGTTTCTGAAGATACTGTGTGTGGGAATGGGTGGGGAAGTAGTCAGCTGTGGATTGTGGGGTGCGTAGGGATTTTGTCTAACAGACTGGAGAAGAGTCTGGGGTGATGGCATGGTTCCCAAGTTAACGCCAAAAGGAGGAGGGCACACAGGGCATCTTTGTAAAGAGAATCCTACACTCTGCTCGAGCAGGTCATGCAGACACTCCCAGCGGAGAGGTCACAAATTTCCAAGCAGGAAAAGGTTACATGGTGAGAGTCTTGACAACTGGCAATTATTGGGAATGAGCTAGCTTCAGGGAGTTGAAGCACCAGTGTCTACTTCCTTAAGTTACTTTAAATTTATGCTAGTACAGCGTGACAGTCAATGTTTATACATATAAGAATGGATACATAGGTAGACATATATGCATATATCCATCATGGTCTCAAACTTTCAGTGCTCAAATTGTTTTCTTCTACCTATTTTGAAATATAAATTATCGATGAATATTGAGTAAATAATTCACATTAATTACCGATTAATAGTAAGCCTGCTCCATTGCAAAATGCTGTGACTGCCATTATCTAACTGTGGCTTCGTACCCAGTTGCCAGGCCAGGCTGTCTCCCTGCCCCTTCCCACCACTGTTCTCAGCCTCCAGAAACCACTACCTTATGGCTATGAGGCCAGTTCAGTTAGCTTCCACATGTGAGCGAGCCGTTTCGTTTGCCTTTGGCATTCCTAACACAGGACGGGATGGGACACCCCAAAGGCAGGTGAGCGACGCAGAACACGGAACTCTAGGCAAAGGTGTTGGGTGCTGCTGCATAACACTTCCTGGATAGGCTAATGGTTAGAGTTCTGCTTTCCAGTTCACGTTTCAAAATTCTATTGGCAGCGTTGTCCAACAGCTCACTTCTCGAGTGCGTTACCCATTAGAGTGAAGGAGGGAAGTTTGTGTCTAGGATTCCATCCTTTAGTGGGAGAGGTTGGTGCCTGGGCAAATCAATGAGACCATCACATGAAAGGAGCAGCTCTCCAGTGGGGCTGTGTGGCCCTGTGACACCCTGGAGGAAGGGGCCAGCTCTCCACCAGGGGCTCTGGGCCATGTGAACACCCCGGCTTCGTAACTGAAGCATCTCGGCTTATTTAATTACAGCCTCATTTTAGAAAGACTTCAGCTATTTGTGTGCTCAGAGCTCTAGGAAATATCTTGGGTGATGTGAGTTTGAGCCAATGATGGGACTTTTCTGCCTCAGATTCCATGTCTCATGGCATCAAATCCTATTTTGATATTGGCGGGATATTTGGAGATGAGTGAGCAGATACAAATTAAACCGGTCTACCCTGACCACATTTCCCCCTGTGAAACTCACAGAAAAGTCTCCGGGGACCGCTGAGATTCTTAGAACGCAATCAGAAAACCACAGGAGTAAATGATGCTGCAAAGCCAGGTCCTGTCCTCGGGAAATCTTAAGTATTGCGGTTAATGCTAGGCAGAGTCTATGTAACGATTGAAAATGGCCTCATTTAAAGGTTCATTATCATAAATGGAATTCATCTTAAATAGGCCACTGAGCATTATAAATAAGCATTAAAGATTCCTCCCCCTCCCCCGTGGTTATTGTTTTCCTTCTTGAACACTTCCTCCTCCACCCACTGTAGTATGTACAAGTCCAGACAGCATTGCTGAGGGCTGGCTGGAGGTGTGTCTTTCTGCACACCTTCGTATCCTGCACAGCTTAGCTGGGGAGCCCAGTGTCTCACCCTCTGAAATGCTCCCTGGGTGGAGGATGTGCATATGTGTTCTCTATCTCTCTCCCGTCCAGCTTCTGCCCTCAACTTTTTTGCACGACTGAAAAGGACTCTGGTTGCATGATGCAGAAAGGCAAAGAGAGACAGCTGCCTGGTCCTCGCTCCTCAGCCCCAGACTCCTGTCTCCCATTTCATTTTAAAAGGACACAATATGATTGTGCTCCCCCACTGAAGTGAGAACTCTTAGATCTCCAGCCTGATCAGACATAGGTGTGTCAATGCTTCTAAGAAATTACCATTGGTGACCAGGCATGGTGGTGCAGGCCTTTAATCCCAGCTCTGGGGAGTCAGAGGCAGGCAGATCTCTTTGAGCTTGAGGCCAGCCTAGTCTACAAAGCAAGTCCACGAAAGCCAGAGCTAAACAGAGAAACCCTGTCTCAAAAATAAAAAGAAAAGAAAAATTATCGTTGGCATTTTCACTTAAGTACAGAACAGCACCCTTCCCTGCCATGAGATGCTCTGTCATAGCCGTGTTTGTGCAGATCTGTTTTCCTACATGATCTGCAAAGTTCTGCATCTCTTTGCTATCTTTAGCCTCCACTGTTTTGTTTGCACGTAACAACAGCACAGCAGTATTAGACAATGGAGTGAATAGTAAAGCACTGTTACGCCGTGAAGGTGGGTGTGACTTTCAAAGGTTGGCAGCTAGGAAATATTCCTCCCGTCGTCATTCGTGATCGTCATTCCTAAGGCGAAACTGAACGTCAAGTGGGAGCCTGATCGGGTTGCGTTTCTGTTCCATGTAGGATCCTGGTGGGCAATCCGTTCACGTGTTCCTGTGAGATTATGTGGATCAAGACTCTTCAGGAGACTAAATCCAGCCCCGACACTCAGGATTTGTACTGCCTCAATGAAAGCAGCAACAACACCCCCCTGGCAAACCTGCAGATACCCAATTGTGGTAATTTAATTTTTAATCAATGAGTTCTAGTTGCTATTAATTATCCTAATTGCCTTGGTGTCGTAGCGAGCCTGTGAAGAATACCACCACCCAGACTTCCCAGGGTGTGTGTCAAGGGTGTCTCTGGCGAATCAGACCTTTACATGCAGTGTGGAGATGCCAGCTGGGACCACCTCTAGTGAATATTCTAAGTAGAACATTGCTTCTGAATGGCTGATGTTAAAGAACATGGAGGAAGAAGGGTGCTGTTAATTCCTTTGCTGGTTTGTCTGTGTCTCCGCCCATCATCTATCCAACTAGTCACTTTCCCCAAAAAATATCCATGAAGAGTGCAGCCCTTCCCAAGTCTCACACACACTTGGTTGGCACCAAGCAATCTAGAGGAAGGATGTCGGGTGCTGACAGAGCCCTCGCAGCTGAGGTAGACAGTCCAAACCCACCCATCCTCAGGCTTGCCTTGCTGCCCCATGCCCTGTCTCCTGTGCTGTGGCCACCGCGCTCCCACCTGCTTGTCCCTGCATCTGGGTTCAGGCTCTCTACTTTACTGTCACCTTCCATTCTTCCCAACATTTCCATCTTGGGACAAAACGCAGCTCTCAGTGAGAGCTAGTGTTCTGCAAGGAAGCTTTTAGCTCCTGTGACTTATCTCTACAATAACACATGCGGGTGTTATTCCTTCTCCAAAATTTTGGTCAGTTAGTCAAACAGTTGACAAGTTCACAATTCTGTTTGCTCTTGCCTAGTGGTTGGCTGGTGACAAGGTAGGAAATCACGTAGCTCTTTATTCCTGTCTACAAGAATGTGCATTTGCCCTTTGCCTTTAGGTTAGGAGCCCATATTTGAAGTCCCACTTCTATCTAACCAGCACTGTTGCTGCTTACTCTTAAAGATAATTTGATAATGATAGTAAACACATAAGTGCTTGCTCTTTACTACAAAGGACCTTATTCCCAAAGAGAGCGCTTGCCCATCACACAGATTTTTCTGTCACAGTCTTCCTTTCTCATTGTGGGGGAATTTCGCTTTGCTCACTTGTCAGCTCCCCTCAACCTTCTTTGCCAGCCAACATTAAAAACAAAGAAACAAACAAACAACAAAGCTACCCCCCCAATCAACTCTTAATATGTGTGTGTTCCCAGCTGATAGGAGCTGGCTCTTTTCCTCCTGGGCACATGCTAAGACTGCTGAGAGACGATGCCTAGAGAGACAAGGCTGTTACTGTTGAGTCACCTGGCCATTTGGCTCCCACTCAGATCCCCACAGCTGCTCTGGCCTTCTGATCCAGGAAACACAGAAGAGAGAGCATCCCACACAGCCTTTGTCCCAAGAGCTGCCTCTGAATGGTGTCTGCTTTGTCCTTGCCCGATACCAGCTCTATGTTTATCAGTCTTTAACTGTGGCCACGCGGTCTTGACATGGTTCACAGGTGACTCATTGTTGGCGTGGCTGACCGTTAAGATGTGAACAAAAGAAATGTTCAAAGTAAACGGATTCGTTTTTTTCTTAGGCTACTAGGATGTGAACAAAAAAAATATTCAAAGTAAACAGGTACTTATTTTTCCTTAGTCTGTCTTTGATATTTTCTTTTGTTTTTCTACATGTTTCCTAATGAAGTATGTGTTTGAGAGTCGTATTTTCACATCTCCCTCCCCCCTTGCCAGGGGAGCTGAGGCTTGATTGAGTCACAAGCACTAAATGGTCGCATTTATAATGCACTCGAGTGTCTCAGTGCTTGTTGAAGCAACATTTGAGGCTATGTCAGGTGAATTTGTATATGAAGTTTTTGTCACTTTCCTGATCAGAAATTGTTCTGTACGTTCCTTACTCATTTGTGTTTTCCAAAGCATTTTACTTATCTGCAATCGCATAGGTGATATCAACACATTTTATCATGAAAAAGTATTTTCCTGCATTTTTTATTTTTGTATTTATAATCATTTCAGGTCAGTACAGACAGACCCATCATAGCCTTTCTAACTTTTGTGGTCAAATGTATCTTAGTTACACTAAATGTTCCATGTTGGTGGCTATTTGACTTTTTTCCAACTTTAAAGAAAGATTTTATTTTATTTATTTGTAATTTAAAAAAAATTTTCATGTGTATGCGTGTGCCTGAGTGTATGTATGTGCACCACATGTGTGCAGTGCCCAAAGGAGCCACAAGAGGGCATCTGATCTCCTGGAACAGGAATCTCAGTACCATGAGGGTGTTGGTTGAAAACTGAACCTTGCTGTCTGGAAGAGCAGCCAGAGCTCTTAATTTATTAGTACATAGTGTTCCCACAGCGTCCTTCACCATGCTCCTGTAAGTGTTCATCTAGGAGACATCACAGAGAACTGAACTTTATCTTAGGTGTGCCTTGAAAGTCTGCCGCCTCCATCACTTACCATGCTAGCACATTATATACTTGGATATCAGCAAACTTCTTAGTTTATCTCTCTGAAAAGTGCTGCCTGGCCTTCCAATTTACATTTCCCAGTTATTAAGTATTCTTCCGTGTATATCGAACTGTTTCATGCTTTGGTGCGTTTACCTCTTTCTATGCTTTCCTTCATTTTCTGTAGGATTTCTTTTTTCTTTCATTTATTTACACCTGTAATGTCTGGTTTTTTTTTTTTTAATTTTTTTGAAAGTTATAAAGTACACTTCTGGCTTTTTGAAAAAAAATATAAATCCAAAGCATTTATTACATATATTTCAACATATGTTTTCTACAAGTAGCTAGAGTTTATAACATCAAAAAGACAGTCAAATACTTATAGTTCTCTATATTTCTTTACCCACTTCTCAGCAGTTTGTATCTCAGATTTTGTTTTTATTTTATGTTTCTGTTCAGAAGAAAATGTTTACAAGCAGTTGACTGACGATGGTGTTGGATTTCATGCATTGCCACTTATTAGGAAGAAGCTCATAATTATAAGGAGATACAAATGGCATGAGTTCCTAGATGTGTAACAATAAAAAAGGCATTTGGAGATAAATAACTTATTTTTTAAAATGTTTATAAAGGTGAATTAGTAACTGATTCAGCAATACATTGAAAAAGCAATAACCAATGTATTTTTACTTAAGAAACTAAAATTTTTTTTCTTACCATACCACCATAGGTGTATATTCTTGTAACTAGCAGCAAAGAGACATTAAATATAAGTCATAAGCCCAGGAGCCTGGCAGATGAAACACTGAGACACACGCATGCCTAAACCACAGGGCAAGAATTGGGGGAAATGATAACAATGCTCAATAGAGTTTTTAAACTTTTTTTTTTAATTATTTTTTAGTTTGTTTGGTTTTGGTTTTTTGAGACAGAGTTTCTCTGTGTAGTCTTGGCTGTTCTGGACTCGCTTTGTAGACCAGTCTGGCCTAGAACTCACAGAGATCTACCTGCCTCTGCCTCCCTGAGTGCTGGGAGAGTTTTTAAAAGTTTAAAATATATTTTAGGGTTTTAGTTGGTGAATATTTATTGCACAAGACACTGGGCTACCCAAAGACATCCAGTCAATTATGTGAGGCCCTCTGAGTGCATTCTCTCTGTTCTCGTCTCTCCTCTCTTTGTTTCCTTAGCAATTTTGCTTATGTCTTTATGTCATAGACATGATTTTATGTATCTATGCAAAGTCCAGAAAGTGCAAATGAGGAAAGACATGAGATGCTTGTCTTTTTGAGACTGGTTTGATTCACCCAACATGATTACTGGTCAGTTGCCTCAGTTTCCCTGTGGATGACAGACCTTCAGTCTTCTGTGTAAAGCATGCCATGCTTTGTTTGCTCATGCCCTCCTGGTGGGCATCTAGGCTAGTTTTCTATCTTAGCAGTAGTGAACATGAATGTTCAGCTTTCTCTGTGATGTGTTCACTTGGAGTCCACCTCGGAGTGGTCGAGCTTGGTCACGTGGTCTATATTTTTGTTTTCTGAAGAGCCTCCATAGTGATTTCCATGGTGGCTGGACCACTTTGCATCTAGCAGTGCTTGCGGGTTCCCCTACGTTCATAGCCTCACCAGTGTTTGTTACTGTTTGCTTTTGTTTTGGTTTTGGTTTTAATGTCAATGATTCTGACAGGGGCAAGGTAGAAGAAGGCAAGGTAAAAAATTTGCACTCATCAATCTAGTGAGGCTGAACTTTGTTTGTTTGTTTGTTTTTGGTTTTTAGACACAGGGTTTCTCTGTGTAGCTCTGGCTGTCCTGGACTCGCTTTGTAGACCAGGCTGGCCTCTAACTCATAGAGATCCTCCTGCCTCTGCCTCCCTGAGTGCTGGGGTTACAGGCATGCACCACCATGCTCAGTGAGGTTGAGCATTTTTTAATCCTGCCACCTTGCTGAAAATATTTATCAGCTCTAAGAGTTTTCTGATGAAGTCTTTAGGGTCTCAAGTATTACCTCATCTAAAAATAGGGATGGTTCAGTTTCTTGCTTTCTTATTAATATCTCCTTCATTTTCTTGTCTTGTCTTAGTTGTTTCAGCCAATACTTCAAGCACTATATTAAATAAGGAGAGTGAATACTCATACCATGTTAGTGAAAATGCTTTGGATTTCTTCCATTTGTTATAATGTTGGTTACAGGTTTGTTGCAATATAGCCTTTCATATATATTTTTTTCCTTCCTAGTCTTTTCAGGGTTTTTGTTATAAAGCCAAGCTGGACTTTGTCAAAAGCCATTTCTGCGTCTATAAAGATGATCCTGAGATTTCTGTTCTTGAGTCTGCTTCTGTGTTGGATTACATTTACCGATCTGGAAATGTTGTGCCATCCTGTGCCATTGGAATTAAGTTGACTTTGCTCATGGTGAACAGTCTTTTTGATGTGCACATGTATTTGGCTTGCAAGTATTTTACTGATGAATTTTGCAAATATGATCATGAGGAAAATTGCCCTCTAATTTCCTTTTTGTTGTTGTTATGTCTTACCTGGTTTTTGATATCACGATACTACTATCATCCTAAAAGGGATATGTTAACGGATGACCTGTTTGTTAAGAGCAGGGTAATGAGGTCCTCTT